TGGCTCTCACAGGGCGAACTGTGGTGGCGTCTGGACTTGTTTTTCGATGAGAGCAACAGGAACGGCTCAGAACGTCGACAGTACCACAAATGGTACAACTTCTTCAGTGATCTTCTCAGGAAGACCCCCTTGGCTGCGAACTGGGGGTCACATGTGCAAAGTCAAAAAGGCAGAGTGCCAAACCCTGATGCTGTACAGGAGGATGTGGCATCTTCCACAGCCTTGGCCCGATTCATGTTGCAAGCATCCTTCGACACAAGGACAGACGCCCACAGGGAATGGTACAAGAGAAAACTGAATGATGCTATGGTACGTGTGTGTGAAACTATCAGTGATGAGCCTCTGGTCATGCAGTTGGATGAAGGCAGAGTGTCATGGTTTCTTCAATCAGCTGGGTTGGTGTCAGGCTTTGCCGCTTGGATGATGAAGTCGCTGGCAGGCAACACGTCCCGATCTTTGCGGCAGCTTTGGGAATCTATGTTCAATGCAAGGACGCTGTCTTCATCTCTCCGAGATGAATCTGAAGGCAGAGTGCCACGAGATTGGGAGGAGGTTGAAACTAGCATCTACGACATCATCGCCTTTGCAACCATGGCAAAAAAACACAGAGCGCTTCAACCGTCGGGGCAGGCTCATGGATTTGCCAAGACAGTCGTGAATGCCTTCATGCACATACATGAGTGTCTGTCCGAGACATTGTCAGCCGGCCTCCAGGTGTATGTCATTGGGCACTACTTGAGTGTACATGATGCTGGTGTGCCTGTGACGTCTCGCAGGGCACTTCTGGGCAAGCGTGTTCCATTGAAAAAGACTGTGGACATCAAAAGCATCTGGAAGTTGCTAGAGGGCGCTGCAAAAAGTGGGACCTCTTTGCGACAAGCCCTCATTCTCAAGAACCAGGACGAACGCAGCGACCTGCATGGTTCCTTGGTGATTTGATATGGAGTAGAATGTTGTTTTGTTAACCAGTTGTTTAAGATTAGTGAATTCTTTGTCACACATTCATTTGATGCCACGTACCCGCGCCACAGTCGAACTAAATTCGACTACCGCTCTTGCCATGGCCGACCCGACGTTCGGCTCTTGCGCCAAGCTGTTGGCCAAGTCCAGCAGAAGGTAATGTCGGGGGCAGAAGTATCCGCTGCGAACTCTGGGATGGCACCACGACGACCACGACGTCCTGCTTCTTTGCGAGCAGAGGGCGACATAAGCATAGCGCGGGCAAATGCTTGCAGCTGCTAGTGGTCGTTGAGAGCCTCATATCCCCATGGCAGAGCGGGGTGACCCCATATCTCGGCCGAATGGGGGTGGCCTAAGTCTCCGGTCCGCATGACTGTCAGAGCACGTTCGTCTTTGCAAAGACGCCGGGGAGGCCGTTACAGAAAGGGATGCTTAAGTCAGGTTGTGCATTTAATATTTATGAAAGGCAGAGTGCCAGTAAAACTTCTAAGGGTTCAGGGTTTAGTGGTTTGCTGCGCTTGCTGTTGATCAGAAAATCCTTGTCGATTCGCTTGCCGGCATGTGGAGGCATGTGTGTGGCCGCTACCCAGGACTCGCTGTGTCTCGCACAGGGCTCTGAGGGAAGAACGTAGTGCAGGGCAACTTATAGTCGCACACCATTAGCCGGGGTCACTTCCCTGAGGGTTCGCTAGTGCAGGGCAGCTTGTAGTTCACACCGTTAGCCGGGTGTGGCGGGCCGCTGTTTGGGATTTTCGGGCTCTTGAGGCCAACGGGGATCTGCTGACCAGATCCCTATGACAGCAGGACACATGGGCTAACGTGCCTGCTGGGAGCCCCCCATTTATGTCTCTGCACGCTCTGGCTAGCCAGTAGTCAGTGCGAGATGATGACCCACTCGGTGGCAGCAGGGGAGGCTCTTGAACTGTTGATCGACCGAGTGCGCAACATGGAAGGCCGAATCGAGTGAGTAGTCATTAAGTGTCAGGTTGTGATCAAATTTATGAAAGGCAGAGTGCCAAAGGCAGAGTGCCAGTAAAACTTCTAAGGGTTTTTTAGTAGGGTTTAGTGGTTTGCTGTGCTTGCTTTTGATCATAAACGTCCTTGTCGATTCGCTTGCCCGACCTAAACCTGAGCAGCGGGCTGGCCGAGGGGGCCCTAGAGACCTGCCAGGTTCCATCTTGTTGGCCGTGTTGGGGGCAGCGATCCATCCGGAGCTGAAAGCTTGGCCACTGACGCCTGCGTGGCCTCGTGGCGGCCACCCTTGGGGCCAACTCCCCTACAGCCCGAGGGGTATGACAGCAGGGCGATGCGCTAATGCGCCTGCTGGGGGTGGCTTAAATGGGGGGCGGGTGTGTCCTTCCCCCCCCGGTGAGATCCTAAAAGGGAGGCCGCTTGAGTTGTGTTGTAAAGAGAAGGGTGAGATAGTGCCTTCTTCAGTTCTTGCCTGTGCTCACTTTTGCGCGCAAGTGGCCCTGGGATCAGGTCTATCGTTGATCGTTTGGCATGGCCTGTAGTGGCAGTGTAGCAGCCTGCTGTAAGTTTCCACTACCCCAGCCGCCAGCTGTGCCTAGAGCCTGCTACTCACAGGGTGATTTCGGCCTGTGCCTGGTTTGTTTCTATCGGCGCGTTGCGGGCGATGTTTACGCCGAAGCAAACCAAGTCTCCGGGATCTGTTACATCGCAGGTGTGCAAATGGCCTGCTGAGCAACAGCTGCGACGGGATCCGGCACAGCGCTGTCATCTTAATTCATTCCCTGTGAGCATGGCGACCCACCTTGGCCGAGTGGGTGGATTTCAGCAAATGGGGGAGGCCGCTAACCCATGATTAGGCTATATCTCTTTCTGCTGAGCACATGCTTTCTGTTCTCTTGGATCGACGACAGAGGCAGAGTGCCGAGGCAGAGTGCCAGTCGAACCTCTTCGGTGTTGCCTTACCTAAGGAGTAAACCCCTGCCCCACCAGGGTTGCTCCCCACACCATTGGCCATGTGTGAGGCGTTCGGTTTGCCTGTGTCACAGCCTTGAGGCCAACCTATCCCAGGGGCAGGGGGTAGATGACAGCCGGGCACATGGGCTAATGCGCCGGCTGGGGCTGTGACCTGGTGACATCGAAGCAGTCATGCAAGTCACCGGAAGCAATACCGGACAAAGAAGGGAGGCCGTTCTTGGGACATGGCTGTGTTGTTGAGCTGGTGTGTTCCTCCGTCTCATTCATAGTAGAATGTTGTTTTGTTAGCCAGTTGTTTAAGATTATAGTGAATTCTTTGTCACACCAACCTTACCAACAAGTCGCGGTGTGTCCAGTTTTGATTCACCAGCCGCGCTTGCATGCCGATGGCCGGGCATGGGTTGTCACACGGACCTTACCAACAACTCGCGGTGTGGCCAGTTTTGATTCACCAGCCGCGCTTGCATGCCGATGGCCGGGCATGGGGTCGCTGTGGGGGACCGTGGAAGACGGAACCGAACGAGGACTTGGGGCCAACCACCAGAGCGGACACCTGGTGATGACAGCCAGACACATGGGCTAACGTGCTGGCTGGGTCCGAGCTCGGCACCCGAGTGTCCCCCTTTGCAACATGGGAGGCAAAATATCGAGCAGAAGTACAGTAATTAGAGTGTCAGTCGAACCTCCTCAAGGTTGCCTTACCTAGCTGGATTTTCTGCGACCTCGGATCGTGTTGTCCGGGCCAGACTTCCAGGTTCCGAACAAAGAAGGGAAGCCGTCCGTTCTTGGGACATGGTTGTGTTATTGAGCAGAGAACCTTGCTTGGCTTGCTGTTCGGTTGTGTTTGTCGAAGGCAGAGTGCCAACATGTTCAGAATGGGGTTTGGTGTGTGTTGCTCTACCAAGCGGCAGCTGCATGCCCGCCAATTTGGCAGCTACCGACACACGGTTGGCCGGGTGTGGAGCCAGGGAAAGGGCCCCAGGGTCGTGCAGTCTAGGGGGGGGTTGGGGCCAACGGTCGGCGGGCATCCGACCATGACATCTGGACACATGCGCTAACGTGCCAGGTGGCCCCTCCCGAAAATGACGAAGCCCGGGTGACCCGGACTCTTCCATGGGAGGCCGAAGAATGGTGTTGCTTGCGCATGGTGTTGAAGTCCAAGTTGTACTTGTATCTCAACTATTTATTGAAGTGAACGAATCGCTCTTTGACTTGCCAGCTCAGGTGTGCCTGTGTCCAGCTGTGACGAGTGGCAGCTTCGAACCAATCGGTTGTACCAGGAGAGAGCTATCACTGCTATGCAGCACTGTCGACAAATCAACTTCATCGCCGATGGGTCGACTCACAGCACCAGCGATTGTCTTGTGACAGTGGCTTGGGCGAATGAGATTTCTGCTGCAGTGTTTGCACCCATGCAAGTGATGAAGACTGGACAAGTTTCTCCACAAGACCGGTTTGACGACGACCTGCTTCTTCACATATCAAAGCGAAAGAAGCGGGAAAGGATTGCTGCATTCAGGCAGCTTCAAGCGATCAGTCACCAAATCTGGATTTTGCACAGAGGGCGAATGGATTTGGGCTCTTTCAAGATCGCCCCCTCTCTTGGGCAGAGGCCTGTGAAAAGATAT